ATGGAAAAAACAAAAGTGCATTCATTTGTCGTGTTAAGGAAAGTGTCAGTACTCTACAGTATTACGTCATGCACGCTGACTTATTTCCCCTACTTCATGAAAACTCATTTCAGTACTGCTGACGAACGACGTGACAGAATGTTCAAATAATTTTTAACCAAATACAAAAGGGTTACACATAGTTATACTGAACTGTAACAACCACTTTTGTGAGCCCTGCCAGAAGAAAAAAAAAGGTATTAAAAAGGGCATTGTTGCGAATTTTATGATTGTTTCTGAATTTAATTTCCATTATCAGGTAGATCTTACTGATTCCCAGTCTGAGCCAGATAGAAAATACAAATTTATTATATTGTATCAAAATCATCTCACTATTTTTTTTACATATTTTTTACATATACAGGGCGTTTCGTAGATCAGGGGACAAACTTGGATGGGTGGTGGAGCGTACTAAAACATGCATTTCTTTATAGGAATGTAGGGTCTAAAGTGACGGGTTAAGGCAGGAACGGGGAAAAAAAAAAAAAAAAAAAAAAAAAAAAAAAAAAAAAAAACCCGACACGAGAGGAAAATGTGTTTATGTACAAAATCAACGCAAAGTGCTTCTTTGTAGCAATGCAGTATTCACAATTAGTGTTCAAAATTGCGACCACCAGCAGTAATACATACTTGGTAACTTCGCAGGAGGGATTGACGAACATTTTGAAAAATGACAGGCATTTCTCGCACGCTTGCAGCCGCAATGATAGTCGTGCAACGAGGTCCTCCATTGAGTCAACGGGAGTCTCCTAAATGATGCTCTTCAGATGGCCTCATAAAAAAGTCCAAGCTGGATAAATCTTGCGAACGGAGTGGCCATCGAACGGATCCACCACGACCAATCCATCGGTCCGGAAATGTCCCATCCAAGTAATTGCGGACCCACACGTGGTTATGGGCTGGTGCACCATCATGCTGGAACCACAAGCGATCACGAAAGACAGCCGGAACATCCTGCAGCAATTCCGGTAGCACCTCCTGCAAAAAAAAATATGATAACACAAGCCATTTGTACGTGCAAGTAAGTGGTATGGGCCTATGAGGTAGACGTTAACAATACCGTCCACGCATTCACGGAGAAGCGAGTTTGGAATGCATGTGGACGTGTGCCGTGTGGATTATGAGTTGCCCACACGTGCATGTTGTGGCTATTGAAGATGTCGTCTTCTGAGAAAGTTTCCTCGTCCGTGAATAGCACATCCGATGGGAAACTCGTCTGCGCCGCACACTGCTGCAAGAACCAATGACAGAAATGAACTCGAAGAGGGTAATCTGTCTCTTGCAAGGTTTGGACTCTCTGCAAATGGCATGGGTGCAAACCATTTTCATGCAGTACTCTCCAAATGGTGGAATGACTCAGCTGCAGACGAACGTGCAATAACTCTTGTACTTGTCTGGGGTGATTCATGCACAGTGTTCAAGATGGATTCTTTCAATGCGAAGTTGTCGTGCACTTCTTCTTCCACTCCTAATGTCAGTCGTGGCTTCAAATGACCCGTTTTCACACAGAGACCGATGCAACCTCTCGAACATTGTGTTTGTCCGTCTCACTACCGCCCTCTACCGCTGCATTTGCCAGCCCCAATCACAGCTGTAGTTCCTATTACTGTTAGCGTTCCCTTTTTTTGAACATTTATTGTGAATAGTGTATCGCTGCAAAGAAGCACTTTGCGTTTATTTTGAACATAAACACATTTTCCTGTCGTGTCGATCAAACTCATGCCCTCACTTACATTTGTTTTATTTAAATGCCGTTCGTCATGAATGATTGAGGTTTAATATAATAAAATGAAAGCTATAGTGAATCTCATTCCTGTGTAGCAAAATGGTTCAACAATATTCTATGAGCAAATAAAAGAAGATTTCTTTTTAACATAAAGAAAACAACCAATAAATATCAGACATATAAGAATACTGTCTATAAAATTTATTTAAGACAATTATTACAATACAGGATTGCCTAAAAATTAAAACATGAAATTTAAATTGCCTTTTTTAGTACATATATCCATGAAACTTGATTTCATTTCAATTCATGTTTCTGAAGCGGCAGGTCAGTTTTCACTCTATTTTATAACATTTTCTCCAAGTAAGATATTGCTTTAAATACGTATTTCTAAAATATCCGCTTATTTAAATGAGAGTTATGTGTACCTAACTAAAATTAGTATGCTGGATTTTGAAATGAAGAAAATAAATGAAAATATTGTGATGAGAATTTATAAAGTATTAGCAATTTCCAGAGTTTACCACCAGATGGTGTCATGACCATTCAAAGTATTTGTAATAATGAAAACGTGAGAGATAGAATGTAGTCATGGCAACAGATAATATTAACTACTCTTGCATTTTAGAATAGGATAAATTATTTTCATGTTGTTGATTGTGAATTTCTGTCCTGATAAATAACACGCACAAAGAAAAAAAAAAAAAAAAATCTGAAATTTTTCAGATTTTAACTTACGTCCAAAGGGGCGTTTTTTAACATTTTGTGTGTTACCTTTCTTTATTAAATATCATGTTCCTCGCACTTAAACCATAAGATCCAGTGCAACAGCAATATCGCAAAATAGTTTTAAAACGAGCATATCTTTAGAATTTCCGATACAGAGACTCACGCGCTGGAGATAAAAATGTTTTTTCTGCACAACGTTGCCATTGCTCGCTTTGAAATCCTTGAGTTTGTTAATCAAAAATTCGTCAAAGTTTTAAAAAATAGGAAATCGATCATAAAACAAATTTCAAATTTCAAATTTGGTCTTCCACATGCTCATATTCGTTGGAGGATTACGTTATTCAAAATTCGATGACTCTATGTACCGTTGTTTTATCACAATACGAGAAATATACATACATTTATGCAGATTTTTCATTATTTAATTTCTTCAAATATAATGCAGGACTCTAACATTTTGTGGCAACAGTTTGAAAAGTGAACCGACATTTATGAGTCCGACGCAAAATGCCAAAACGAAACTAATAGTCCTTCGGGATTCAAATCCCTTTGGTCTAACAAGTAATGGATATACATATAAGAGAAAATTTCTGAGGCCAATAAAAGTACATTAAAATACTATTAACTATATTCTGAAATTTTTTAACTGTAAATGAAATTTGAAACTCATTTAATAACTTTGCTTCATCTATGTACACGTAACCGTGGAAGATCGAAATCTGGTAAATGTCGACATTCTCTGGTGAATGTCAACATTCACTTGGTCGCTTGGTGTATGTCCGAAATATTTTCTAAATATCCTTATTTCTCACTCACACAGGCAAATGTCGATATTCACCATGCACAGATGGTGAATGTTGAATAAAAATACTTTTATTATGTTTCTAAAACATACTTTATTATTCAAACAAATTATGATATACGTTAAAATAAAAGAAAGCTTAAGTAACAGCAGATGTAACTAAACTGTTGAACTTAAAACAAACAGTACATTCTAAATAAGAAAAAAAAATAACCCCAATAATAAACTTACTTAATGTTGTGATTGATGTTTATACCATCTTATTTATTGCAACAACTTAAACTGTTATGACACTTTGAATTGCACTTTCTTTTAGAACGCAACGCTTCTCTACTTGTCTTCTCGTTTCGACCTCCATCACAGCATACCTTCTTGTCGACATATACGAGTAATGGTTCAAATGTATAAAAATGTAACCAACTATTCGGTCTTAAACACTTAAACTGACTATTTGGGTATGTGTAGACATTCATTGGAGAATATCGACATTCTCCAGTTTTGATCATTTACAGTAACATATACACATTTTACAATTTCTATTAAAGTACTTCAATAAGCTGTGCACGGTAAAACTGAGTTTCGAACTGAAAAAAACTCATTTTTGTTTTTAAATTTACAAAATTATTCATCTTGCGTGTATGTATACAGAACAAATTATTAAGTGATTCACTTTCACTAGTTATAGATGTAATAGTAAGAATTTAGACTTTTATTATTTATAGATATAGAAAACATTAAGAATTTTTTATAGATATAGAAAACATTAACAAAGAAAAAAAACTTTATATCGTAAAACATGCTTAAAACATTATTTGAATTTATATCGTATGCTTTTCATTTGTCCTATCATACGTTTTGTATGCTCACCGTATAAGAACATTTAAGCAATATCACGGAAATACATCGTTAATTGCATTTGAAAGAATTCAAAATGGGATATTTTCGTTGAAATATGCTGCCTGGAACTTTTCGCGATTACAATACTTCCTTTTTACTTCGTACAAGGAAGTAAAAAGAAAAGAGACGAATCTGCGCCGGAACTTCTAGATCGTAATAAATTAATAATGAAGTTAAAAGTTGGATTGCAAATCAAATATAAATTTAGTTCCATAAAATATAAAAGTCTACCTGTTTCTGTCTCCAAAAAATGATAAAAAATCTAGTAAACGTGAATGAAGGGTACTATTAAAATGTATTGTAATGTAATCAAGCAATGTAATGTTATCAATGTAACAATCGAAATTAATGAGTTCGAAATGCATTCCCTTGAACCATTTGAGACTTTAAACCGCTTTTTTAATATTTAAAGAATAAAATTTAAAAAGAAATTTCGAATATATATATGTGATGTATCAGCTTTAGTCGTAGCTTAAATAATCAGCCGATAAGTTTTAAAATACAGGATCCATTTATTATATTTCAGGAGAAATAGCAGTTACAAAATCAGATATCCGGACTAAATAAAAAAGAATTACTAATAACTTTTTGTATGAAGTTTACTGCATCGTGACATTAAAGAAAAAGCCTCGATATTCCTTTTGCGAGTCATTTTATAGACTCTGGAAAGGCGGAGCTTCCAAGAAATGACGTCAGCTTCGTCAGCCAATCCAGTTCGCTTTAAATACTTCCAGAACATTCTATAACTGTACGTGTAGAAAAAGGCGGGAAAAACAACTTGACTACGGGGCTGTGGATTTAATTCCACGTACTTTCAAATAAGAGAAGGCCGCCATTAAAAATGAAAAGAACATACAGTTAGAATTTTAAGTGTATTCTTGACTATGGAATTTTATTATTACATATATATTTATAATTTTAGTGAAAAAGATGAAACAATAAACGGGCAATAACTGGCATTTAAACATGGCCATCTTAGAAAAATCCGATTAGCAAATTAATACAGTAAGCTGAATTCTCACTTATACATTAAAACACATAGATCAGCAAATGCATAATAACTAGGAAGGGGTGAGCATAATCGCAGCAGCTCAAACTGTGGTGATTGATGACTGTGTTCCATTTAAAGGAACTGGTTGCGGCTGTTGATGCATAGCAAAAGGTCGATAAACAGTTTGGTGAGAAGGAACAGCTTGACTTCGCCTGGAAATTTTCAAAACAATATCTGGTCTGTAACCATGCCATACGTTATAAATCTTCTTACAGCAAAAGCAACAGTAATAAAAGACGATGGGAATTAAAACTGAACTGGTTATAATAACTCCAAAGGCTAACCCCATAGCAATTTGTCGAAAAACAGAACCTACAAAAAAAAAAAAATTAGTTCGGTTACGAAAAGATTTAAAAAGCATAAAATCATTAAAATAATCTGAAAGCTTTCAGATTTTAAATTACGTCCAAAGGGCTGTTTTTTTAACGTTTTGTGTGTTACCTTTATTTATTAAACTTCATGTTCTTTGCACTTGAACCATAAAATTCAGTTCAATAGCAATGTCGCAAAATAATTTTAAAATGAGCATATCTTTTAGAATTTCCGATACAGAGACTCGCGCGCTGGAGATAAAACTGTTTTTTCTGTACAACGTTGCCATGGCTCGCTTTGAAATCCTTGAGTTTCTTAATTAAAAATTCGTTAAAGTTTTACAAAATATGAAATCGATAATAAAACAAATTCCAAATTTCAAATTTGGACTTCCACATGCCCGTATTCGTAGGAAGATTACGTCATTCAAAATTCGATCGCTCTATGTACCGTTGTTTTACAACAATGCGAGAAAGATACATACATTTATGCAGATTTTTCATTATTTAATTTCTTCAAATATAATGCAGAACTCTAACATTTGGTGGCAACAGTCTGAAAAGTGATTCGTCGTTTATAGTGATTCAACGCAAAATCGCAAAACGAAAACAATAGTCTTTCAGGGACAAAATCCCTTTGGACTAATAACGCATAAATGTTTTATAATAATAAAACAGAAATATATCATTTTTTCAATTCACACCTTATTAATAAAACAGCGTAGATTATTGAATAAAACTTAATCGATTTCCACGCCGTTTTTACTCCTGGAAAAGAAATACATCGAAATCTGTAGAATTATATTCAAAATCTAGACAAATCTGAAGCAGTTTTTTGCCAAATTTAAATGTTAAATATGAGTGTCTTACTTCCGTTTTAACTTCTTTGTGCTTAGAATTATAACAGTAGCCAATCTGATCATCATAATTTTTATTTTATAGTTTGATTTTTTTTTAAAAAAATGTTCAGTGGTGTCGGTGGTTTTTAATGGTCAATCGAAATATTCTGAATGGTCATCAAAAGTGAGCAGAAACAATACCTATTTCAAGTGTAATTTTATGTGGGAAAAAAATAGTTGTAAAGAGTTAAAAGAAAGTTCAGCAGACGACACTGAATGTTATCGCCTTTAAAGTTGTCATTCGGATTGATTTGCCTTGGTCGCGCTTATTTGTACATGAAAACAGAAAATAAATCGCTTGTTATGATCAATATTTCGGTAATATGATCAAATTATTATAGAATAATTTTTATAACATAAAATAAAATCTCCAAATAAAACATAAATTCGTCGAAAACAGCTCAAACTGGATAACAAAAATTACAAAGTACCAGAAAAGTTTTGCCAAGTGAGGTGTCAAACTGTCAAATATTGCTCTTTCCCTTTCAGTAAACCCTTTAAAATTAGGCAAAAATGCAATCTTAGTATGCCGTAGATTTTGAATAATCTATCGGAGGCGATCAGACAAAAAAATTGTTTTCTTTTGTCTTGAAAACAAATTCTCTGAAAACTCTTGCAGTAAACTGTTCTTTTGCTTAAACTAAGATTTTATATTGCTATGTTCTCTTCCAATGAAAGATGTATTCCGAATACTGTGGTAGAAGTACATAGAATCGGTTAAATAATTCCCGGAAACACTATGAACAGTTCATAAACGTTTTAATTATTTTAATTACAAAATGTTGTGAAACTACCTACTTATACGTTTCTTTAAACTATTGTATTTAATTAGTTAAACTGCTTTGCGTTTTCTCGTCGTTTAATGCCATCAAAAGAGCTCTGGGCAAACATGATCACATTTAGCGGCGTTTACTGTTCATTCTGAAGATGAAACAGAACTTTTCCAACAGCTTAAGTCAATATTTCTCTAGCAGATCTTCTTGACTCATTGCCATCTTCTTGAGTTATTCTTGAGTATGTTTATATTCATGTATATATTGTGCGTTATGTGTATGTATATATACTGTAACTTCATGTTGTATACATATATATATTGTTAGGTTATTTTCTGATACCAGTTCGTACGGGTTTCGTATGGATTTGGAGTGAATAAACGACGACAGCACTTGATGGAATATCGAAACATACTTTATTTAGAATATTAATCAGGACAGCTCCAAAATCACGTTTTACAGTTATAGAAGAACTACCATAAACACGCTGACACAATCAGCGACACAGCCTTCACACTATCAGGCTATAACGGTCAGGAGACAGCTTCGCTGCAAAGCACCAGAGTACAGCTCCTGACTCTGCTTGGTCGTTCTCGGAACTCCACGTACTCTCGAGACTCTCCACGCTACAACTCGCGATGCACTCGACGATTCACAAGAGTATAACTCTCGACTCACTACGGTCTAAGACTAAACTCGACGATGCACTAACTCGCGATACACTAAAAGAATCTCTCGATTCGATGCACTCGACGAGACACTCGACACTCGCTGGCCGGCTGTCATCTCGATCGTCTCCGGGCAGATTAACCAGTTGAGACACACTGACTCGCACTCTAGACGAGGCACTAACTAACTGCGGACCAGCAGGGTTTATTTAGCTTTCGGCTTGTGTTCGAGAACGTTCTGTGATAAACCGATAAGAATTCGTTCCAAAAGGTTCTCCATCCGTCCATGTCATATTGTCACTTCTGTCGCCAAATGGGCGATTTTCACCAAATGTGGCAACCCCGCCTTCCCTTGCCATAAAATGGCAACCCTAAACCTGCTTTGGGAGGAAGTTATTATACCGCGCCTGGACATGTCGTAACAATATATATATTGTATGCTGTGTTTAGTTTCATAGTATATGTATGTGATAGACAGAAAACAGCGTAGAAATTCTGATGGCATAGCACGTAGATAGCATATTGAAGATGAAGATTTCTGATTGCGTAGAATGCTAAAATGTTGAATCTGCAACGAGGCAACAACAGAGGTATAAATGAAGTGCGCATTTAGCCAGTATGGAAGTTTACCAAGAGATGATTTTGGTTTATGTTAGAAAGGTTTCTATTCTCAAAATTCTGAGTTTAGATTCCGCATTAGCTACGTTATCAACGTTACGGAAGCCATGCGAGATGGATCAACGTAGAAATGACGCAGTCCAGAAAAGCTATTATGATTTTTAGAATAGACAGAAGAAATAAAAGGCTATTACTAAATTAAATTATAAAGCTGATTTACATTTTTTCTTATCTTACAAATTCCCCACCTTCAAAGAGAAAAAGGATTCGAAACAGAAACCCTTTTAGAAGAAAGCATTAAAGCATTAGCGAAGCAAAGGAAAAACAATTGTGGAAAAGAAAATCATAGAATGTTGATCTAAATAATTTTTTAAATTAACAAAATTTTATTGATATCATTTTTATCAATAAATGCAAATTGAAATTTTGAAAGTCTATAATTTCATTTTTCGGTAAAAATGCTGTAAAAAGTGTCTAAATGTTTTCAAGGAATAACTATAAAGTTCACAGTTCTATAAATCTTTAGTTGCTTATCATGATACTAACCATAATCTTATTCTGCAGTTCTTAGCCTGAAAGTCTTTCGTAATAATTTTTGTTGTCAATATAAAACCAAAATTATCTTTTACATATTCAAGAAATTGGTATTAAAATTACTTATTTAATACTTTTAAAATAACGCACATTTCTTAACTGTAAAGTAATGTAAAATAGAATTTAGAACTTAATGAACAAAGAAAAGTAACAAAAGTCAGTACAATAATAAATAAACTTTGATAAAAATATGCAGGTCCTCTACAATGCAAATCAGCGTTACAACTTGCTGATGGCTGTGGGATGCTTACATACAATCTCACGTAAAAGCCTCCATTGTCTATACGAGGTAAAAGGGCCTTTAGTATTGTACAATTATCAAAGTTTGCATTTATAACTTATAGTCATTAAAATTTTCCAATTAGTTAATATAAAATTAAAAATTATTCAAAAATTAAAATTTAAAACGTATAACTTGTATATTGAAGTTAGGTCTTTTAAATTTTGTTAATAAAATTCTACACTGCCTTACAATAATACTAGTATGCACCATATTATTTTGTGAATATAAAATAAGAAAATGCAAAAATTTCTTAATTATACTTTTTAAAACTTTCCAAATATAAAAATTTTAAATCTAGATCTATTAATTACGTTACAAAACCATAAGAAATTTCAAAATATTATAATGGAATTAATTTTTCATTTGAAACATCATTTGAATAGTATTACTAAAATTATGTTTTCTATTATTAAGAAAATACCTACTTATACGTTTTATAATACTTTTGTACTTAATTAGTTAAACTCCTTGTTATTTTGAAGGATATTTTTTCTCATCGTTTAATGTCATCAAAAGAACACTGGACAAACATAATTATATTGTTACGTTATTTTTTTTATTTTTCTTCTGACACCAGTTGTTACGTTATTTTCTTTTCCTTCACGTTCGTACGGGGTTCGTGTGGATTTGGAGTGAATAACGACGACACTTGATGAAATATCGAAACACACTTTATTTACCAGTATTGTCAGGACAGCTCCAAAGTCACTTACAGTTACAGTCGTCGATGATAGGTACAGTCGTCGAAGATCTACTATAAACACTCGCTGGAACAATCAGCGACACAGCCTTCAGGTTATCAGGCTATCACGGTGGAGACAACTTCACTGCAGAGCACCAGACTACAGCTCCCGACTCTGCTTGGTCCTTCTCGGAACTCCACGTACTCTCGAGACACTCCACGCTACAACTGATGATGCACTCGATACAATGAGCACAGCTCCCGACTATTCGGTTCAGTCGTTCCCAGAGCTCAGCACGCTCTCTCGACGATGCACTAAGAGACTCCTTCGGTGCACTCGACGACCCACTTGGCACTCGTTGGCCGGCTGTCAACTCGATCGTCTCCGCACGGACTAACTATGACACTCGCACTCTAGACGAGACAGACTCACTCGCCCTCTCGACGAGGCACTCACTCTCGATACTAACTGACTACGGGCCAACAAGGTTTATGTAGCTTTCGGCTTGTGTTCGAAAACATTCTGGTGCTAAACCGGTAAGAATTCGTTCCAGAAGGTTTTCCATCAGTTCATGGCATATCGCCAATTTTGTCACCAAATGGGCAATTTCTCGCCAAACGTGACAACCCTGCCTTCCCTTGCCATTTTATGGCAACCCTAAAACGGCTTTGCGGGGAAGCCATCTCACCGCGCCTTGACATTTCGTAACAATATTAAGCGGCACCTACTGTTAATATTGAAAATGAAATTAAATTTTTCCCAACAGCATAGGTTAATATTTCTGTAACAGATCTTGCCAGCTTCTTGAGTCCTTGCCATAAGTATGTTTATATTCATGTATATGTTGTATGTTATGTGTGTGTATATACTGTAAGTTCATGCTGTATATATATATGTATATATATTGCATGTTACATCTAGTTTCATGATAATTTTCATGTTATAATATATATATACAGAGTGTTTCATATTCAATGGGACATTTACTGTGAAACTATAGATATCCAAGTTCCTATAGATGTTCTATGTGTGCCCCTCCGGTGACACGACAAATATTTAACCGATGTTACAGTTCCTGCCAAACTCGTGACAGAATGTCCTTTGTTAATGACTGGAGCACTTCAGTTATCCGCTGCTACAGTTGCTGTAAGTCCTGGAGAAATAGAGACAGGAAAACTTTGTCTTTAACAAAACCCCATAGGAAAAAATCACAAGCAGTTAGATCTGGGATCTCGGTGGCTAATAATGCAATGACATTATCTTTTGACTCCACGGCCAGTACAGCGAATGAGTAGCCTATTGTTCGGGTACTAGAGTACGTTTTTATGCCAGTGTAATCAGTGGAGTTTTCAAATTTGACAACATTTACAGAGTGCGTTATGAAGAAAACTTTCACCCTTCGAATAGGTTTGGTTTGGTTGGCTTATTAGATTACGGCAAAGCACTCGAGGGCTATCTGCCTTAAAGGAAGGACTTTTTAAGGGAAACTGACTCGTATAAACGTTACACATGGGGAAAACCACGAAAACACCCATGCAGCTAGCCCGTTCGCGGGATTCGAACCTCGGACCGAACTACCAGTGTTCAGCGACATTACCGCTCGGCATTACCTTTCGAATAGGATATAGCGGAATATAATACTATTGCGTGCCTACGCGCTCGTAATGGATTGGATGCACACAGTTCTGATGATAGGTTAATAAGATTTGTTTTACCAAAAGAAACATTTCAGAGTTCTGGAATTTTCCACAGAAATACCCGTACACGCAACAACAACTGAGAGCAGATGCTCTTTCTGGCCTTGTATAGTTTTCAGCCGGCCACCGAGATATTTCTATTACCTTTGGGAAATTACTGGAAGACAATATGATAATCGAATTACCGTTACAGCTAAAGTAGTGATCAATTATATTTATTCAGTTACAATACCTGTTACAATAATACAGGGACCGGCGCCAAATGGTAGCCAAATTTGGCAGATTTTGGCGATTTATCACTAAATTTGGTGACAAATATTTTTTCAAAACCCTTGCTAGCTTGGCGAGATATCGCCAAATTACTGAGATAGCCATTTACTCAGTATTAAATGAACTTGCCCCAGTATTCTTACTTTTCCGCCATAGCTTTTCTCTGCAGATTTTTCATGTTATATTAAGCAGGAAAAAATGCAAGTTTCACATATAATTGTACCAAAATCATTTATCTTTGTACATAATTCGTAACACTTCGCTTTATCCTATTATATCAAGGGGGGGGGAACAAGTTAAAATGTGAAATATTATTCCTAGCATAATTAATCATGTATCTAATATTAAGTTTTTTGATTTGAAAACAGAAATTGAAGTAAAACTATGTGATAAGGGAAGAGACGCTTTCATGCAGGATTTTCTAAGAAAAACTGGTTTACATGTATGTTCTTTTATAAGAAAAAAAGCATGGAAGAACATTTTTGCAGCCATTTTTGTTGATTTGAAACTATGTCAAGCTACCAGTTTACATAGTAGTATCCACTTCACACTGGTTATTATTTCGTAAATCAAATTGCGTAAAACGAAGACATTTTCCTCAAAGTTACGTCATGCTTGTTTGATTTGATTTGGTTGTTTTAGTTTATTATGGCAAAGAACTATAGGGTTATTTGTCTAAGGGGGATGCCTTCGGGGAGAACTTCTATACGAAACCGGCTGGTATACACGTTCCACAAGGGGAAAATCACAAAAACGCCCATGCAGCCAGCCCATTCGTCTGGATTCGAAACCAGGTCATAACTACCAGTGTTCAGCGATTCTTACCGCTCGGACGCTTGTTGGCCTTCGTAGTACTAGTAAGCTCTCAGATGACGCTTTCAGTATTAACTATAGACTTGATTATTAGCGGAAAGAAAAGTTAAAATAATACAATTAAATTAGTTTTGAATATTATCTGGAAATCAGTAGTTTACTTTAAAACCTAAATTACTCATTTTAGCAAAAAGAACTCCTTAAGCCAAGATTCTCAGATTATTTTGCTAAGACAATATTCTCATGCTAGCGTCAGTCAGTCTTCTTTTACTTAATTTTTCGCTAGCTGAATGAAGCTTTACTAGATTTAAAACGAAAGTGAGCAGGACTTCAACTAGATTTACGAAAATTCAGATTTTTCTTTCCTACATTAGCATAAACACTTAATAATAGGTCCATAGTTATCACAAACATCCACTACTTTTCTTAATCACGCATGTAAATAGCTAATTTTTTAAATGTATAATAAAAGTATACAAAAAGGGTTTGGGACATAATCTGAAATTATGAGACGAAGAGAAATAACTAAAGTTAAGAAGATAGAGAATTGCAAAAGACTTAGAAACTATTAATATTGTTGCGTGTGGTACAGGTTCGTAATAGACTGAATGCACACAGAATCGATTATAGCTTAATATCTCCCCAACCAGCGCTCGAGCGGTAAAGTCGTTCAATACTGGTAGTTCGACCCGAGGTTCGAATCCTGCAAACGGGCTGCCTACATGGGCGTTTTCGTAGTTTTCCCTATGTGTAACGTGTATACGAGTCAGTTCCACCTTGAAAGTCCTCCACGAAGGCAGCCCTTAACTTAGGCAGATAGCCCTCGAGTGTTTTGCCGTTAATGGAATAAACCAAACCATACCTTAATCCCTCACGGAGATCTCAATACACCAATGTCAGCTCTGAACTGAAAACCGAAATCGGATGCTCTCTTATATAGTTTTACATAAGAGAGCAGAAGAACGTGCCTCTCTTATGTAGCTGGGGGGACTATACAGGCTTATATAGTTTCCCCCCAGCCACCGGGAGATCTCTAGTGCCCTCTACTTCTCAAAATTACAGGAAAAAATACACTATTTAAGTTACATATGAGGGTGGAGACGGCTACAGTTACATATAGGAATCAATTACAGTTATTCAACTAGAGTACCAGTTACAGTTATACAGGGACCAGACCAAAATGTTGCCAGGTGTGGCGACTTTTAGTGATTTCTCGGCGAATTAGTGGACAAAAATCAGTCGCCAAAACCATCGCGAACTTGGCGATATCTCGTTAAATTGCCGAGAGAGCCATTTACTCCAATATTAAATAGACTTGCCCTTATTTTTCCAGCAGAACATCGTTTTTCAAGCACTTCATGTTATCTTATACGAAAGATACTACAATTTCAGATATAATTTCACTAAAATTATATATATGTGTACAAAATTCATTACAGTATTTTACCTTGCTTTTTCACCCGAGGAGTGAATGGACTAGGGCTGGGCTGCCTCGGTGTTTTCCCTGTAATTAAAGTTGCAAGAATATTACAGTAATAATTTTCTAATTTACTAAATACTTTATAAGTTCAAAAGAATATGTCAGAAAAACTTCTAAATAAAAGCGTAGTAATTTATCTTATACATTTCATTTTTAATGTAAAAAAGCTCCGAATAACAAAATGAGACTTTTATTAGAATTTTTTAATCCCAGATATAAACAAACACATCTGTTCTCAATGAATATGCAAGGGTAGTTTATTACTGTTTCCAGTTTAGCTGTAATTAGTTTTTAATCCCAGATATAAACAAACACATCTGTTCTCAATGAATATGCAAGGGTAGTTTATTACTGTTTCCAGTTTAGCTGTAATTAGAATTTTTTAATCCCAGATATAAACAAACACATCTGTTCTCAATGAATATGCAAGGGTAGTTTATTACTGTTTCCAGTTTAGCTGTAATTAGAATTTTTTAATCCCAGATATAAACAAACACATCTGTTCTCAATGAATATGCAAGGGTAGTTTATTACTGTTTCCAGTTTAGCTGTAATTAGAATTTTTTAATCCCAGATATAAACAAACACATCTGTTCTCAATGAATATGCAAGGGTAGTTTATTACTGTTTCCAGTTTAGCTGTAATTAGAATTTTTTAATCCCAGATATAAACAAACACATCTGTTCTCAATGAATATGCAAGGGTAGTTTATTACTGTTTCCAGTTAGCTGTAATTAGAATTTTTTAATCCCAGATATAAACAAACACACATCTGTTCTCAATGAATATGCAAGGGTAGTTTATTACTGTTTCCAGTTTAGCTGTAATTAGAATTTTTAATCCCAGATATAAACAAACACATCTGTTCTCAATGAATATGCAAGGGTAGTTTATTACTGTTTCCAGTTTAGCTGTAATTAGAATTTTTTAATCCCAGATATAAACAAAACACATCTGTTCTCAATGAATATGCAAGGGTAGTTTATTACTGTTTCCAGTTTAGCTGTAATTAGAATTTTTTAATCCCAGATATAAACAAACACATCTGTTCTCAATGAATATGCAAGGGTAGTTTATTACTGTTTCCAGTTTAGCTGTAATTAGAATTTTTTAATCCCAGATATAAACAAACACATCTGTTCTCAATGAATATGCAAGGGTAGTTTATTACTGTTTCCAGTTTAGCTGTAATTAGAATGCTGCGACATACTGCTTATTATTTAAAATCCTTAATACTAAAAAATCTGAAGTGTACACTACATGACTTCTTTGTACCGAATATTAAATTATACGCATTTTTTTCCTTCATTTCCTCGAATTTCATTAGAGATATATTTCTCATTCAATTAATTCAGTTCTCGCTTCGCGGCAAGGCAAAAATAGTATATAAAAACTAAAACTACTTTAAGTCGAAATTGAAAGATATAGGAAAATATAAAACACCAAATACAATTAAAAAAATTTAAAAAAAAATTTTACAATTAAAATTACAGTTTCTATGCAAAAACAAGGAATTCGACCAGCAGGCAAGAAGGCAGATTTTTTGGTGCACAAAACTAAAAGTTTCCTTTCGGCCCACGCGGCAAAAAGGCACTGAAGGTGCAGAAAGAATTAATTCACTATTCTGCTAAGTTTCAAATGAAAACAAATATGGCTGCTAGGCTAAAAAAATAATATGGCTGCCAGGCTAAAAAAATAGTCTTAGCCGCACTTAAACAACTTTTAAATTGTTGATAATTCCACAAATATTGCATGCAGATTAACTAAAAGCGTAAAAACGGTAACCAGAAGATAAGAACAATAAAATTCAATCATTTTTAAAGGAAAAAAATACACAATTTACCAATATATAAGCATAAAATACTCAGCTTATGGAACGGAGTAACAGAGTGGGTATATACACTGCTGGCTACCCAAATTGCAACACTAAGAAAGACAAGAGATATCACAACAAAATTTATCTAGTAGATAACATGTTGACCAAGTATCAAATGATTAAATTTATAGACTTCTGTGAAGTGTGGTTCCTTGCAGAATCAGTAGCCAAAGTAGTCGCCATTGTTGGAGATCACCGCTGCCACACGCCTCGACATTGATTCAAAGAGACTCTGGATGTGTTATTGGGCTACAGCAGACCAAGCAGCTTCCACATGTTGCCAATGTTGATCTGGTGTGGCAGCTTGGGATGTAATCTGGGTCAACCGTTAACAACCATGGACCACATGTTTTCTATCGGCAAAAGATCTGGAGAGCGAGCCGGCCAGAGAAGCAATTCAATCTGGCGATTGACGAAGAACCCTTGGACAATGCGTGCCACGTGTGGTCCGCATTATCCTGTTGAAATATGGCTGTGGGCAAGCCCTGAAGTTAAGGAAGGTCAACTGGCTCCAACACTTCGGAGACGTAGCTCTGGCTGTTTAAAGTACCGGCAATGCGTATTAGAGGAATGCGAGAGTGATATCCAATACCGCCCCATACCATAATACCCGGTGCAGGACCAGTGTGACGGTTTATAACGCAGCTGTTCAGCATCCTCTCTCACGACTACCGATTTCCCTGAAAGATAATTCACACTCTCGGTAGGCCACTATCCTTCCTCTGTCGAACTCGGACACTTGATCAAACGATGTCGCTGTTTATTACGAAGCATAATTGATCGTTTTTTTTGGGGAAAAAAAAAAAAAAAAAAAAAAAAAAAAAAAAGGAGAGTAACACAATTGCCGAACTTGAAATTGTCGAAAACTCCAAGTCTTAAATAGCGCTTTGAAGTGGCGCCACAGGCACTCGTGATGTGCGTCTGCGCTGAAATTCTAATCATTTGCATATATCACCTCCGCTAATGCATGTTATTTGCGCATGCCTCCTTCAGGGTGTTGTATTTACGGTGGCCAGCAGTGTATATATATATATACTATATACTTTTGGTGCAGCCGATTGCGACCAAAATGCGAGATGCATAACTATATGATATAGGAGTCCTATATGCGAAATTTCGACGTTCTAAAACTACTCGTTTTTGAGTTACGCGAGATACATACTTACGTACGGACAGACGCCACGAAAATAATCTCTTCTGAATCCATTTTAAATCAGTTTTATAATTCGTTTGGGAGAAAAAGCCGTTTATTCTGTCCTTACGAAGAAATGTCACCCAAAAACATCGCTAAATTGCATTCGACAGCAGTCAAAATGGATATTTTCGTTGAAATATGCTACCCGGAATTTTTCGTGATTGCAATACTTCGGTTATTTTGTAAAAGGAAGTTATTAGGCCTAGCCGCACTTGAACAACTTTTATATTGTCGATAATCCACAACTATTGCATGCAGATTAACTAAAAGTATAAAAGCCTAAACCGAAAGATAAGAAAAGCCTAATTCAATCATTTTTAAAGCAACAAATGAGCAATTTACCAACATATAAGAATAAGAAACCTAAACTCACATAGCTGAGTAACAGAGTGGGTATATGTGTATATATATTTATATGTCTTTGGTGCAACCGATTGCGATAAAAAAGGGAGGAGCACAATTACATATTATAGCAGTAGTATATATGAAATTTCAACGTTCTGTGACTACTCATATTTGAGTTATGCGAGATACATACATGCATACGTACGTACGGAAGAATGTCTTCTGAATCCAGTTGTCCTTTTTGCATCCCGTTTTGGGAAACAAAGCCTTTTATTCTGTCCGTAACTACAGATTCCAGCAAAAATATCGTTACGTTGCATTCGATAATGGTCTTAATGGATACTTTTGTTGAAATATGATGCTTAAAACGTTTTGCGATTGCAGTACTTCGTTTACTATGTACAAGGAAGTAAAAAAAGGGGGGGAGAGAGGAATAAAATCTATTTTTTTGGTTGACAAACTAAAATTTGTTATCTGAACTAAAAAAAAGTTACCATATATTAGCCGCAATATACAGATAAAAATAACACAAAAAGAAATTCAAGTTTATGCTTATTTCCTGGCTGAAATTTCAAAGTTGGTATCTACAAGAAATTTTTGTTCGATTCAATTTGTATTTAAAAAGCATTGACGGCGAAATATTAAAATTTTCGCATTGACATATATTCAAATAATTGTATATATTGAAATAACCCCTAAGTAACTTACTTTTCACTTAAATTGAAAAGAAATACACGAAAACTTCCCAAGAGGTACGAAACTTGAGAAGTAATGAAACCTGTTCTTTTTCTTTTATTCATTAGATTTTTCTATGATGCATATATATTAAAAAAAAAAACTATTTGTATATAAATAATTATAAACTTCTTTTTTGGTTGTTACACCTTTCAGCTGCAACACGGCGTTTCAATTTTCATTAAGTTTCTTAAACTTGGACAAAAATTACTAGAAAGCATCTTTATCGCAAATACTGATAGATTTTTTTGCGGACTTATTAATTTTCAGTTACGGGGGAAAAATAACATTGACACCTAAATGTACTTCGAAACAAAGCGATACTTTGATGAAAATAAAATTAATAATTAATGTCAAATAATAATAAAATTAATTAGTTTACAGCTAAAATAAAGAAAAATAAAAATTAATCAGCTGCAAATTTAAAGCAGTAAGATACTTGCGGAAGAATTCGCTTCATAACGGTTAATTTACTACCCCTTCACTTCATTTCGACTTAAGGATGTACACAGATTTTTAAAGCTTTTGCTCTCTTCTTCTTTTAACAGTAACAGCAGAACAAACTCACGAAATTCATCCTAGCAAGGAGCGCAAGAATGTGGATGTCGTTGGCAACAGCCTTGAGAATCGTATAGGTAGCAATACGACTTCATCTCCGCCCCCAGTTTTGATGCAGAGCACCCCGGGGGGGGGAATTTTCCACTCTTATTTCCCTCTCTCGAAACGACTGTCGGCTTGCCGCATATTTAGAGTGCCCCTATGCCGCACAGATATTATTCATTTATAAACAGCCATGCCTTCTCCGGTATTCGACCCCAGCCCCTTCGGTACGACAGTCAGCGTTACCAACTAATATCCTGGTTCAGCCGCATATTGAGATTTATTATGCATTTAATGATTAACCCTCTTCTTCCACCTGTTATGTCATCTTTCTAAATTTCGTATGAAAAGAGTTCCCTCCCCCCTCCCAACTTCCTCCAACATTTCACTTGGCTCTAATTCGCACTAACTACTTGACCTAACTCTGTCCTTGTCGATGGACTTGTTTCATACTTCTTCGCCAAACAGAATGCACCGGCAATTGCAGCTAACCCTTTCATTAATTTACGTCATAAGTACCTCTTCTAAAGCAACAGTACTGCAGACTTAGCGCAGGTCTAAGATCCTCTTAGCATATTTTCTAGAGTCCATGGACTCAGGACCATAATTCGTAATACGTCTCCCTCATGCTAAGTTCACATTCCTGCCATAAGGTCGACAGCGCTGCCTTACGTAGGGATACCGCTGCGCGCCAAGATGCATATTTCATAAATGCACATCTGTATCGCCACCGAGGGAGTGGCTTCTAGAATGGACCAATCTGCTTCCAGTAATATTTCCGTCATTTCACATGATCGAGTTTTAAGCCATATGGTTGAAGATGTTTTGCCACGTAATTTTCTCTACCACTAATTAAAGTATCGTGGATTTCTTCTGAAAATTTTCTGTGTAAAGTTAGATCAAATGTAAGCATAATTATATATACAAACAGCAGAAGTCTTAGCATTTTTTTCTGCAGTCTACAAGAAAAAGATGTTCTATAATAATTGACAACGCGCAGTTTTAATCAAAGTAAACTTTCCTAAATTACATTCTTACGCATTTAGTGTGTTAAATTTCGCATTAATAAATATTCACTCTTAAATGTATTGCCTGCACAAGAAATACTCTTCAAACAGAATGAATTTATCTTATTCACAGCGAATATATTTAATTTATTCATATATAAAGTTAAATTACAACAATAAGCATAGTTAAGATCATTAACAACATATATTTTAAATCTTACACTTTCAAAATCAAAGGAATGTAAGCAATGGGATAAGAAAATACTGGATTTATTGTAATACATAATTCAATGTAATATGTATTTTACAGTCATTCTCGGCTTAATAAAAAACACACACTTGAATTCTTTTAATTCGCAGGTGTTAGTAAATGCATAAAATTCGAGGCTAAATGTAGCTTGTGACATGTTCTCGATACAAGGAATGATAATATGCCACGAATATTAATCCGAATATGAGTGCATGATAAGATTGGTGAAAGAGAAATGTTGACGATTAAGTAAGCTTATGAGATGAAAGCCCTATGGGATTTTCTCCTGAAATGATAGCAGCATTTATTCGCCATAGATTTATAACTGCGAAACAAATATAAAATAAATAAAAAAAATAATAACGTAATAATAAAATTAAACGTAAACAACAACATGTGCTCATATGTACAGTTTCAAAGACTCATCTTTATAAGAGCAGTAGAAGCTTATTTGTCGATTTTAGAAACCCCTCCCTCAGTGGCGATACTGATGTGCACTTGTGAATTTCGCTGTACAGATGCTGTAAACTTGTTCGGCTGAGATGGAAATAAGTAGCTAAAAATTAAAAACCAGATTTCAGTCATCTACCTGGAAACCGGATGAAAAACAGCAGTCTTCTGGTAAATCCGGGAGAGTTAGCAGTTATCAATATGCAGCTAAACATTAATAATAAAATTAAACTGACTTAGGCAATGGAATGTTGTTTTGAACTATTTCTGTTTTTTGATTTTATTACAGTTCGAAATTCTTTTTGGGTAATAAAGGTTATTAGAATGTTATGAATCTTACCTGTGCAAAGGCCTGCTGAAAAGACTAATACCAGTAGTAAAGCTGAAACAGATCTTGAGTAATTCATCTGGAAGACAGAGGAGCAAAATTAATGAAACTTTAAAAAGACTTATTTTACAATATTCATTTTATATTCCCTCTTCTACTGACGATAATTAAAAGAAAATCTGATGTAGACGCCGAATAACTTCCTGATACGACCTATTAAATTATACACATTTTTTGCTGCTCTTCATTTAAACTTATTTCATCGAATTATTGTAACTTAATTACCCGATCTCTCAAGAAAAGTTGAAAATGACATCAAAAATTGCAAATTTTGAAATTAAGTACTAATTTAGTAAATTTAATTTTTGTCGTATGGGAGTCAAACTTCTTATAATTTTATTTTTTCATAATGAGTATAAAAGTTTCAAAAGTATAAGAATAAGAACCGGAAGAATGCATTAAAAGTTAGATATCGTTATTCCTCAAAAAATGATTTATTTTTACATTTTCGCCATTTAAAATTTTACTGTAATGGGAAGTCGATGACTATGACCAAGGATTGAGAAAATAAAAATAAAAGCCGGGTAAGAGGAAGGGTGTAATATATATATATTAATGCTTTTTTCATTTACTTTTTCAAGCGGACGCGTCGGGAAATGAAACAGAGAAATTGAAACTAAAGTTTTTGTCTAAGTTATTTTTTCAGTTAAATACTCAAAACGTTTCGTGTACATTTTCAATTTTCTGTTTTGACAAAACGCGATATGGAATTTTAGCTGGATTCGAAAATCATTATGTATTTCCCTTGAAGAGTGTGTAATGAGATTTGTATTGGGCTAATTTACCATTTACCGCTTTTTTGTTATTTTGCTTATGTCTTATATCACAATTGTATTTTTATTCAAATGTTTAAAGCTTGTCTTAACTTTATTCAACATTTTACTTCCAATTTGATTTGAGTTTTAAATACGCTTTTTATTTGTAAGTATTCTAGTGATAATTTCGTTTATTTTGTATTTACACTTTTTATTTTAACTTTTGTTAACAAAATTTTTCACCGGAACCACAGTAACACAACAACTTTGAAGCGGAAGGAAGCATTAAGAATTTTCTTTTTACCTTATATATATATATATATATATATATATTGCAATTTGTGTTGTTGATTGCATGTTTGGTATTAATTGATTTTATTTCATTGTAAGAAATATCCGATTTAAATCCATTTTATTATTTGTAAGAAAAAACGGAAGTGTGTTTGAGAGGGAGAGAAGGAAGCATTTGAGCGTTTTGCAAAGCACTTTATTGGGCACTGTTTATAACTCAGGTACGGCATTTTTTAAATGGTACATCTGTAAGGCATTTTCTCTTTTTTTTTTTTTTTTTTTGTGTGTGTGTGTGTGTGTGTGTGAAAATGTTTTGCAAGGTGGTAATAATAGCTCCGTAGCTGGACAATTTCCAATTCTTCATTAATACCACTGTTCCTAATATACCACGGTGCATTAGGATTTTGTAATCTTGGAACGATATTACGTGCACCTTGCAAAATTTTTCTGATAGATCTACAAGAGTTAGCCCAAAATGGACAGGACTGCATCCCATGCGTAATAAAGCATGGGACGCAGAACGGATTTACGTTGTTTTTGTTGTTGTGACTTATCTCACTTGTCCGACAAAACCATCAGAACAAGCCCACGGAATTCATCGTGGCAAGGGGTGCAAGATTACACCTGTCGTTGGCAAGAACCATACAGGTGACTGTACGACTTCGCTAAATTTCACCCGAAATTTTGAAGGAGGGCCCTTGGGGGAAACGGATCTGAGGGTTTCCCCTCCTCTTCTTCTACCAGCAATTCTCCAGAGGATTTCGGCTCCCCACATATATAGAGTAACCCCATGCCGCTCAGAATTATAAATTTATAAGCATCTATTCCTTCTCCAGGACTCAGACTCGGAACCTTTAGTACAGCACTTAACGTCGCTAACCACTATCCCGGTTGGGCTGCATGGATTTACAAATGAGCAATTTTTTATCAATAGATAGAACGCTATTTCTGGCCATAACTAGGTACAGTTATGCTTTACGTGCACGAAATTTCTGGATAACAGATGTAATGTGCAGGGTCTCTCTAAGGCTGCTATCACACGGCGGTTTGTTTCGGAAAGAACAGCTGTTTGGAACAATTTTTCTGCTTTGTCACAACAGCCAAATCACCATAGATCGCTTTGGGGTTAACACAAAGGAAACTGGTTCCTCATTACAAACAAGCTGATAGCTGATTGGCTGAAAACGAACAACTTGCAATCTTTTGGTGGTGTATTTAATTATGGCAAAGCACACGAGGGCTATCTGCCTAAAGGGAGGGATGCCTTTTGTGGAGGACTTTCTAAGGGAAACTGGCTCGTATACACGTTACACATGGGGAAAACCACGAAAACGCCCATGCAGCCAGCCCGTTTGCGGGATTCGAACCTCAGACCGAACTCCAGTGTTCAGCGTCTTTACCGCTCGGCCGCTGGTGGGCTGCAATCTTTTTGGAAAGGAAGGTAAAAGTCGCACGTCTGTTTTTTTCAATAGTAAACTAGTGAAAAAAATTGCCCGAAACAATTGTTCGAGTGAAACACACGTCGTGTGATATGAGCCTAAGAGAATTTGTGAGGATTACCCTAAGGCAGGGTTTCTTAAACTGTGGGTCGCGACTCCCAAGGAGGTCGCCAAAAATTTTACCACTTTTGATATTTCGTCACCTTATTATAATAATTTTACAATTACAAAATATTTTTACACAATGTATCTGAAAACAGATAAAGATAAGACAATACAGACAAAGAAAAAAGGAAAACGTTTCGACGCATTCTTTCTATAATAGAAACGTTCATTTTCCTTGCTTTGCACGTGATGCTGTCATTTCGTCTGCTACTTAATTAAAATTTTCACATTGTTCTGTTCTTAAAATTAGAAATTAATGACCTAAAAGAGCAATAGTATGTTACAGCACAAGTGAAAAAATTGACAGTTTCGCACACGCTTGTGTCGGATTTGCGCACTGCTTATGGGGTCCCACAAAATTTTCGTAAATATTATGGGGTCCTGGGGGTCGCGAAAAAATCTCAGTGATAAAAAGAGGTCGCGACTGAAAAAAAGTTTAAGAAGCCCTGCCCAACGGTAAGGAAGGGACTTGCTTAACCCAGGGCAGAGTAGCTAAAATAAGCTTTAATATTTTCAAGAAATTCGAAGGTGCTACTTTGGTAGACGGTTGCACGGATTTTTGGCGATTTACGTTGGCGCAATTGTTGGCGCCATTTTTACAATCATCAGCCATCTTGAAAAACGCTGTTTCTACGCATAGTAAAGTATTCGATACTTTTAAAAAAAAAAAAAAAAAAAAAAAAAAAAAAAAAAAAAAAGTAAATAAATAAATATCGTTAAAAGTAATGGATTAATTTTTTGTTGAAAATGTTGCTTTTTAAGATGGCAGGCAAGTGTAAATAAATACATTTACTATGAGTATAAAATACTAAAGTAAGGCTATTATTACTTTCATATAGCGAAAAAAAGAATAAAAACATTGTGCCAACGTTTAATTACATTAAAATATTACTGAAATTGAATATCGAATTAAAAACCATCCTACCAACATTTAAAAGAATTAGAATATTATTAAATTCAAATACTTTAAAACACGTTATATAAATATAATTAACATTAAAACATATGTGACAATAATTATCTCAGCATTTTTGAAAATAGTATTAATTTTTTTACAAAAATTGAAGTATACAATTATAAAAGAAAAGAAAAATATTGTACTTACATTTTTTGAGTAATTTAACCTCTTGTTTATTGATAGTACCACAAAAAAAATCGAAATCATAATTGAATTGGCTCTTTTAACCATCTTCATCTGTTAGCCACATATCTCGCACTTCATTGAAGAAACAATTAGCGCGGTTTCCTCAAAAATTTAAAATAAATTTCCTCTGACGCTATTAACAATTTCTAAATAAATCTTTGATTAGAAAGACAGGTTGGCCAAAATAAGGTCTCAAAGGGCAATTTTTTATTCCAATACCAATAATTCTTGGTAATACCAGTAACAACATTCATCTTCGAAACGAAGATATTCATTCCATTTGAAATCTGACGAATTCGAAGAGATGAATAATAAAATTTTAAAATGGCGCGGTAATGCACAAATATTCAGTAACCAATCAGGGAGCTGATTACATCACGCATAGAATTAAAATTATTTAAATAATCATTCATAATAAATCATTTTTTAAAACAAATGCAAAATTAAATTGTATTTTAAGATTTAACAGCCATAAATAATGTTTAAAACATTAGATTAATTTATAGATATTAATAAACCAATTACTTTTTAAGTAAGGTGACGTCATTGATTACATCATCAACATAAAATTATATAAAAATTATAAACAACAAAATTTTTATTTAAAATAAAAATGTAAAATTAAATTGATTTTTAATATTTAGAAGCCATAAATAATATTTAAAACACGGAAGTTATGCATAATAAAACGCATTATTTTTTTTTAATAAAATGACAACAAAGTATCGGTTACCGTAAATAACTTATCCAGCAATGGGTTTACCATAAGTTGTATTACTCGCCAAAAGAAAACTCGCCAAACAATCGCCAAAATCCGTGCAACTGTCTACCAAAGTAGCACCAATTCGAATGTTTAAAGTCTCGCTGCGTCATTATTGGTTTAAATTTACGGTATTGAACAGATATGGTATTGTTAACCTGATCAGTCTTTGAGTGTCCATATTTTCAACGTCAGATACATTATCAACATCATTTGCGCACTATCAATAGTGACTAAATTTATTTTGAGTAGGAATCTCAATATTACTTTTAATGAGCTTAGCTGGTTTCGCCGAATTTCTCGACGTAATGTAACCATCACCATTTCATGAATCATTTATATACCCTCTTTTTAATCTTCCTAGAATTTTGACGAATTTTACCAGTTTCACTGATATAAGTTTCGTTTATTATTTCAACATGATTAGAAAAATGGCTAATCATACTATTTAATGCACTATCAGAAACAAAACTTTACTATTCACATTTTTACGTAACTTAGCATTTTCAAAAGCTAACTTTGCTACTACCAACAAAAACTAAATCCCACTTACCTTGTATATATTGCAGTAGATTCCTCTTCCTTTGAAGCTCTGTTTCCACAAAATACCGTTGCAGATTTTTAAGAGTTGGGTTAATGTGTTGATGCAGTTGCTTGCCCAGTGAATTCATCATATTCGTAGATGATTCAGTATCCTGTTTTATATCACTTTTTAGTGATAATAGAAGCACTAATTCTTGAAATTCGTCGTAATCTGATCATTAATCCAAAGTTCGTTGTATTTTTCACAATAAAACTGATTAATTTTGTAATCATAATCCATATCCGGTTGGTTATTACCTGGCGAGGGTTGAAACACGTTTTACGTGGCGTATACACTGCTCGGAAGCGGTAGGAAATCGTTTTCTGTAACGGTGGGTGAAACTTCCCCATTCATTCTAATTACAAATTCACCAAAGCTGTATCACAAAAATAAAATTACAATTCGATATGCACACACAATAAGCACAACGAAAGTGTTATTGAGAATTGTTACGATCTCGGAATTATGCCTGATTTCAATTTAAACATGATACGTACAATAAAATGCTGAAACATTTGTTGGTATTGAACAGTAAGGCAGCTCTTATATAACAACATAAATTTTAAACCAACAAACAGAAACATATCTGAAAGCTTTCAGATTTTTTATTACTCCTAAAGGGACGTTTTTTTTTTTTTTTTCACAGGGATTCAAAACGGGATTTGAAAAGTGATACAGACATTCAAAATCATTCGAATACCGTTAGACATTGTAACGTCTTTGCTTTGCTACACTACCAACAGAATAACAGTAAGATATGTAAAGAAACCTTGCATTTAAAATATCCGTGCTTGAAGATGCACGCTTTGAAATCTTTGCGTTTGTTGATCAAAAATTCGTTAAAGTTTTCACAAAATATGAAATAGATAATAAAACAAATTCCTAATTTAGGCCTCCAGATGCCTAAATTCGAGTGGAGGACTACGTTGTTCAAAATTTGATATCTCTAGGTATTGTTGTTTTTTCGCTGTACGAGAAACATACATACATTAATGCAGATTCTTCATAATTTAATTTCTTTAAATATAATGCAGGGCTCTAATATTTGGTGACAACAATTTGAAAAGTGATTCAGACTTTTGTAGTGAACCAAACCAAAATGGCAAAACGAAATTAATAGCCTTTCTGGGCTAATAAATTTGAAAACACAGATAGGGAGGGAGAGAAAGGGGGATACGATGGCCTTACTGAGTGGCAGAATTTAGATTAGTTAAAACTCCAGGCGTCCAAAAGACGGCAGAATTTAGTTGCGACAAAGATTGTATTGTGGCAGAAAGGTTACCGCCAGCCAATAACACAAATGGATTTCTGCATATATACGTTTTGAACAACATCAGTGAAACAAAAATTCTCCATTAAAGGAAAGAAAAATATCATCAATAAAAATGTGCAGTAAAGTGACTTTTATATTTTAACTCTTTTAAGCACTGCAGAGTTGACTATCTTAGTGTGATGTGTTTATTGAACTAATAAGATTTGTTGTTGATGTTAGATTTATCTCTTGCATCTTCCTAACTGAATTCTTCTTTATAAAAAATGCTTTCTAGCGAACATAGCTGAAGCAGATGATCCTGGAATAATAGATAAGCCTCAAATATCCTTTTGTTTTGGTTAGGTTTCCTTGGTTTAGGAGATTATTAAATTCATTAATTAAATAATTTATATCAGAAGTTTTAAGAACTACAACGCTTTCCAAATCAAGAAATAACCAGGTATTATTTTAATGGAATCTGCTCCTGATACTAACTGTGGAAAGAGGATACCCCATTTTCCCAAAGAACAAAATACGCAGAGAAACTCGAATGCCTCAGAAACAAATCCTCCTTTTAGGAATGCTGCTTCTATAAATTAGAATTCAAATTTAAAAAATAATTTTATTTGACTTCAAGAATAATAGTCAGAAGCTTTCCTGTGCCTTATAAATTGCTTTATGTTAATTTAGTTACTTTTCAATATAATTTATTAATTATCTATTTACTACTGATTTATAAATATTTTATTTCCTTTTCTAAATTTCACTTAATATGAATCATTACTTATTTATTTATTATTAATTTGCTTATCCATTTCCCTTATTAAGGTTCCAACCTTAAAGTTACAGCTATGGTTACAGTGTGGAACCTTGAGAACTGGTAAGCGAATAATCGCTTTAGCTCAAGAAATAGAAACGTAAAACTCAAGAAGGGTTAATTACATTTTATTTCTTAAAATAAGAATTTACAGCCGGCTCCTGTCTTAGGGCGTACAGAAAAGCCTCCATTTGGGCTTGAACTCAAAGAGTACTAAGAAAATCAAACTTAACTAATGCTTAACTAAAACGATATAGCCGAAGCTATAAAAATTCTACAGAAGTTGCCCCCCTAAATGTTAACTAAACGGCGAAACTATCAAGGACCTGAAATACAACCGAGAGTAGTAATAGCTTAGAGAGAGAGTAGCCAAAAGGCGAACGCGAGCAAGTCAGAATCTCTGGCTCTCTCACGAAGTCTGTGGAACTTCGACTAAAGTACTGCTCTTCCTTCTGCATGTAACAGCGATTCTAAAAACACACTCTGGCAGGAAATTTGTAACCTGAAATTAGAAGGGATAGGAAAGTAGCTTTAACTAAAGACAACTATTAAAAACTCGAGATAAACCTTGTAGAGACATTAGGTATATTTTTGGAAGCAGACAAGATGAAAAATGAGCAATTGCCTTCGCCGGGAATCGAACCACAGACCTCTGGAATACCGACCCAGCGTGCAGACCACTACACCACGAAGGCAAGCTAGGAAAGCGGGAGAAATACCTTATATACTTCCCTTTTTAAAGGGCGCCTGGGGTTTTCAGGGGACCCAATCGCCAAATCCTGGGTGTGGAGAAACCTCAACCAACCCCTTTTAGTCGGGCGCCACTGTAGAGACATTAGGTATTTTTGGAAACAGCGCGTCGAAAAATGAGCATTGCCTTCGCCGGGAATGAACCAGGGGACTCTGGAATACGTCCCAGCGTGCAGACCACTACACCACGAAGGCAAGCTAGGAAAGGGAGAAATACCTTATATACTCCCTTTTTAAAGGCGCCTGGGGTTTTCAGGGGACCCCCAATCGCCAAATCCTGGTGTGGAGAAACCTATCCAACCCCTTTTAGTTCGGCGCCACTGTTAGAACATAGGTTTTTGGAAACAGACGCGTTGAAAAAATGAGCAATTGCCTTCGCCGGGAATTGAACCAGGGATCTCTGGAATACCGTCCCAGCGTGCAGAACCACTACACCACGAAGACACGCTAGGAAAGCGGGATAAATACCTTATAACCTTACACCCTTTTAGCGCTTTTAATGTTTTTTCGTTTTTTAATGGCTGGCACTAGCCGGTTTAGGCTTTGGCCACAACTAAGCCTAGAAGATGTGGTCAATTTATTTATTGAGGCACCTAATACGCTGCCGTCATTACCTCCTATGAAGAGATAGATAATTATCCTATCCGTGCCTTCTCCGGGATTCGAACCTGGGTTTTTCAGAACGGCAGTCAAAGTCACTAACCACTTTTCTGTCTCGGCGGCACAATTCTAATATCACAGCCCACCAGCCGCTGAGCGATAAAATCGCTGAATACTAATAGTTCGGTTCGAAGTTCGAATCCCGTTAACGGGCTGGCTGCATGGGCGTTTTTGTGGTTGCCTTCTTGTGTAACGTGTGTACGAGCCAGTTTCCCTTAGAAAGTCCTCCACGAAGGCATATATCCCCGTAGGCAGATACCTCTCGTGCGCTTTGCCGTAATCAAATAAACCAAACCAAAATAATATTAGAAATTACGTCCTTAACCAGGGTAATCAGATATAATTTTTAGAATGGACTAACACATTTTCAGAAATAACTGAGGACCTTTCTGGAAAAAAGAAAAGATACACTTATGTGTCGTATATATTAAACAGCTGAAATTGAATTAAAAGTACAAAAAGGAAAAGAAACTTCAATCATTTTTCACTGAATGTTCTTCTCTCCACTTTCGAAGAAAGATTTGGGCGTTATTAAATACTTACTGATTATTAGTTTACTTATTATTTTATCTTCCAGCACGTCTAATATTAGAAATTAAATCCTTTCCCAGATTAATAAGATAAAATTTTTGGAAGGGAACACTTTTTCAGTAAAAACTGAGCACCTTTCTTGAGAAACAAAAACATGCTTATGCTGGACATATTATATATTTAGACAGCTAAGATGAAGCTAAAATTACCAGAAGGAAAAGGAATTCCAATTGATTCTCAATGAATGTTCTTCTCCCTCCCTTTAAAAAAAATATCATATGAACACCACATAACTTCCTAGTACAGCATATTAACTTATACACATTTTCTACTGCAACTCATTTAAACTTATTTCCTCAAATTATTCTAATTTAATTAACCGATTCCTACAGGCAAGTTCAAAATGACATTAAAAATTGCGAATTTTGAAAATAAATATCCCAGTCAATTTTTTTCGTACGGAAGTCAAACTCCCTCTAATTTTATTTTTCCATGACGAATATAAAACTCTCCCTTATATAAGTAATGGAAACGGGAGACCGCATTAAAAGTTAGATTTTTGTTATTTGTCGAAAATGAAATTTTTTTAAAAATTTCACATAGCTAAAACATAAATATTTTTATCATTTAAAATACTTTTGTAGTTATAAGTATACGACTACGAATAATTGAGGAAATAAAAGTCTAGTAAGGATTTTTAAACTGGGTAAGGGTTCTGGTGTAGCATTAAGATATAAAAATATGAAAGAAAATTAATTCTGCCGATTTCAGTTAAAAAAAAAAAAAACAGATGCTTAACTATATGTTATAGCAGTTCAGTATACAAAATTTCAACGTTCTACGGGTAATCGTTTTCGAGTTATGCGAGATGCATATGTACATAACGTACATATGCATGTCACAAATGCAGATGTCACAAAAATATCCCTCTTTATTACATTTAAATTCATTTTACAACCTGGTTTTGGAAAAATGTGTTTTTCATTTTGTCCGTACATAAAAACTTCTAGAAAAAAAATCGTCCATATGGATTCCGAAACGATCAGTGGGGATATTTG